TGCACGCCCCAGTGGGGCTGATCTCGGTTGACCTTTCAGTGTTGCCCTGCAGGCTCCACTGGCTTTGTGAGCAACCTGCGCACCTTCCTGTGGGTGTGGGTGCAGCAGTTCACCAACAGGCAGGTGCAGGTGCAGCTCTTTGCCCACCTGCACGGGCTGTCCCTGCGCTGGCACCTGGGGCGTCGCACTGGTGAGGTCCTGCGTAGCGTGGACCGGGGCACCAGCAGCATCAACAGCCTGCTCAGGTCAGAGTGTGCTTGTGGTGGGTAGGGGGGTTGGCTGGGCAGCCCCACCGAGCTGGGCTGATGCCCCATTTCCCCTCCCACCCCCCAGCTACATCATCTTCAGCATTGTCCCCACCATTGCGGATATTGTCATCAGCATAGTTTACTTCACCTCGGTCTTCAGCGCTTGGTTTGGCCTCATCATCTTCGTGTGTATGAGCCTGTACCTGAGTGAGTGGGGGGCTCAGGGTGCAGGGCTGCCAGGCTGTGGGGTGGCAGGAGCCTTGCAATGCAGCTTCCTCCTGTCCACAGCTCTGACCATCTTCATCACTGAGTGGAGAACCAAGTACCGTCGGGACATGAACACGCGGGACAATGAGGCCAAGTCCCGGGCCGTGGACTCGCTCCTCAATTTCGAGACGGTACTGTAGGAGTTGGGGGGGGTCACTGAGGACGGCTTGGGTGCTGATACCAGCTCTGCTCCTCTAGGTGAAGTACTACAATGCAGAGAGCTATGAGGTGAACCGCTTTAACGATGCCATTGTCAAGTACCAGGTACGGGGTGCTCAGTACCTTTAGGGGCACCAAGGGGGAACAAGCCAAACCTCACAGGCACCTGTGGGGATGATGGAGATCACCACTGCTCTGGTTTGGAGGCAGCAGCATCCCAGAGGACTTTGTCTCTTCCAGGTCTCAGAATGGAAGGTCAGTGCCTCGCTGGGCCTCCTCAACCAGACCCAGAACCTGGTCATTGGCCTTGGGCTGCTGGCGGGGTCCCTTCTCTGTGCCTACTTTGTCACTGAAAACAAGCTGCAGGTAAGGCTGGTGCCAGCCTGTGCAGACCTCTGCTGAGGTGGGGCCCTGGGGCTGGTGGTTACAGACCCCTATACCCTGTCCCTTCCAGGTGGGGGATTTTGTCCTCTTTGGCACCTACATAATCCAGCTCTACACGCCACTCAACTGGTTCGGGACTTATTATAGGTAATGCTGGGAGGTGTGGAAGTGCCTGGTGTCCCACTCTCCATGGGTGACTGGGTTGGTATGTGCTCCCCAAACCCTTTGCTCTGGTCTTTGCCCTCTTCAGGATGATCCAGAATTCCTTTGTGGACATGGAAAATATGTTTGAGCTCTTCCATGAGGAGCAGGAGGTGGGTGCCACCGTTCCTGGACCTTGCTCCCTTGCTGGGCCTGTGGTCTTGCCCTAGGCTGGCTCTGAGCCTGAGCCTCTACTTCGACAGGTGAAGGATGTGGTGAATGCCAGCGACCTGCGCTTGGAGGCTGGGCAGATTGAGTTTGAGAACGTGCACTTCAGCTACATAGATGGGTATGGGGTACTGGGCACAGGCTGGGACCTGCTACAGGGATGTGGGGCCATGGAGTGACCCTGAGCCCCTCTCCATGTCCCTCTTCCAGGAAGGAAATCCTGCAGGATGTCTCTTTTTCTGTGATGCCTGGGCAGACCCTGGCTCTGGTGAGAGTGGGACTGTGAGTCCACTGTGGGAGGGAAGGATGGGGACAGAGAAGCTGGAAAATATGAAGGTGGGAAGGGCAGCCCCCAGCAGGACCAGCCCTTTCCTGTCCCTCCCCTGGCCTCCAGCAGCTGGGAATTGGCCATCTCTAAGTCCCTTTTCCTTTGTATCTAGGTGGGACCTTCGGGCTCTGGAAAGAGCACTATCATCCGTCTGCTCTTCCGCTTCTACGATGTACAGGGTGGCTGCATCCGCATTGATGGTCAGGACATCTCCCAGGTGAGGGGGAAGGGCTTCCAAGAACCTAGGAGGACACACCAGCTCATCTGGGCCTCTGGGCAGCACTGCTCAGTGCAGGCACCAGCACCTCCCCAGGGCAGGGGTGAGCATGCAGCCCCCACAGCCCCTCTGCAGGCTGTGCCAGAAGTGGCAGAATGGTGCGACTCCAGGACCCCAGGCTGAAATGCTGGGTACAGACCACACCTCCCTGGGAAGGTCCAGGACACTGTCAGGGCCCCTCACTGCAGAGTAGAGATGCAGCTGACAGCACATAGCTTGCAAGGAATGGGGCTCATGGCTGAGGGTAGGGTTGGGTTTTGGAGGGATCTTTGCATTTGGTGTGGGTGTGCTTGAGCCCTCTCCCCTGCCTCCCAGGTGAAGCAGGCTTCGCTGCGTGCTCACATTGGGGTGGTGCCCCAGGACACGGTGCTCTTCAACGACACCATCGCCAACAATATCCGCTATGGACGGATCCTGGCCACTGACCAGGAGGTACAGGAGGCAGCCCGAGCTGCTGACATCCACGACCGTATCCTTTCTTTTCCTGATGGTGAGACCCCTGCAGTTCCCGCCATCCCATGCTCCCCTAAGACCTTCTAGCTGCCCTCACAGGTATCCTTGGGTGACATCTCCCATGGAGACACCTGCATGACTTTGTGTCCTCCTTTGCCTTTTTCTGCCTTCTTTCCAGGGCTAGATCAGCCCCTGGGCAGGGATAAGCTGAGTCCACCATGTGGCTGTGTAGTCACAGCAGGACCTCCCAGGGCAGCAGGTCCTCATCTCCATTTCAGAGGGCACCAGCACATCATGTTTCTGTTCTTGTGGCTGCAGGATACAACACCCAGGTGGGAGAGCGGGGGCTGAAGCTGAGTGGGGGTGAGAAGCAGCGCGTTGCCATCGCACGCACCATCCTGAAGGGTCCCCACATCATCCTGCTGGATGAGGTAACAGCAGCGGCCCCAGCCCAACCTCACCCAGCTCTGCAGCTGCCAACACAACCTCTATCCCTTCCTCATGTTGTGTCTCACCTTGCAGGCCACATCTGCACTTGACACAGAGACTGAGAGGAACATCCAGGCTTCTCTGGCCAAGGTCTGCGCCCACCGCACCACCATCGTTGTTGCACACAGGTAGGGACAAGGGGAAAGGGCTGGTCTAGCCAGATCCCACAAGAGGGGGACACAGATGTGCCCCCTGCTCAGGAGGTGAGAGCCCCTGGGGTTGCATCTCCTGGCACCATGCAAACCCTCAGGAACCCTCTGCCACCCAAGTCAGGGTAACACCTGCTTCTCCCTGCAGGCTCTCCACTGTGGTAGGTGCAGACCAGATCCTGGTGCTTAAGGATGGACACATTGTGGAGCGAGGGAGGTGAGCACAAGGGGAGGGCTGGGGGAGGGAATCCCCTCCCTGGCTCTGGGGCCAGCTCAGCACTCTGCATCCCTCCGTTCTCCTCACAGGCATGAGGAGCTGCTGCAGAAGGGAGGTGTGTATGCTAGCATGTGGCTGCAGCAGCAGACTGGGGACGAGGGCGAGAGCAAGGAGCACCGCACTGAGAAGCCCCAGAGCAGCAAGAAAGCATCATGAACATGACCAGGAGTTCTGCTGTGACACTGACTTGGGTCCAGGCCCCCACACTGCCTGGGAGTCTTCTGCTGGCTGCAGGCAAGGGCCCTGCCTGCCTTAGAGCTGCAGGGGCTTGGTTGGACACTCCACTACATTTGTACACGTTTATTTTGCTGTTGTGTAGTTTCTTAAACCAGGTCCTTCCCAGGTCCATGCCTGTGTCCTCTGGGCAGGGTTAGAGCCTGTGCCCTTGGGTCAACTGGCAGCTCTGCCACGAGGTTGAGCTCCTTGGGCTTAGGTGAGCAAGGGGTTGAGCAGGCTGTGAGCGCCTGCCCCATCCCCACACAAAGGGCTGAGCTTGGCAGGGGGCTGCACCCCAACAGCAATGGAAGAGCAGGGCAGCTGGTGTCCCCTCATCCCTATGTGCCCCCCGCTTCAACCACCATCCACAGAGATGTGCCACTCTGGGCTGGACACCAAGTGACTGCTCCCTCAGGTACCTCTGTACCTTGTACTATGCTTTTATTTTCTCCCAAGCAGCACTTTGACAAGTCTCAGCATTCCCTGGACCCAGCCTGAACCCCCCTCCCTCAGCTGCTCAGAGCACGACAGCCCAGTCCTGTGCAGAACCAGGCACAGCCCTGCAGGCAGGAATGGTTGCAGCAGCAGGTGGGAAAGCAGCACAGCTCTGCATGGCTGCAGACCCCCTACAAGAGGCCAGCAGGACAAATCCCCTCCACCCAACCAGGCTCTAGCTAGGCTCAGGGCTTTGTTTGTAAGGAGGGGTTCTGTGCCACTGCTGTCCAGGAGGGGATCTCCAGCAACACAACTGGAAGAACAGAGGCATTTTTACCCCAGCAGCATTTAAACAGGGCCCTGTTTAAGTTTAGGGCAGCAGGAAGGCAGCTGCAACCATCCCACGTGAGCGATGCTGCCATTCAAGTCAGTGCCAAGGTTACTTATTATATTAAACCAAAAAAGGAAATGGAGCTCCATTCAGTCTCAGAGAGGTCTTGTGCCCCAGGTGAGCAGGGTAAGGCCCAACATGCTCTTGTACATGCAAACAGCAGGGAGGCACTGAGGCTGTGGGGAGGGGGCTGCTTTCACACTGCTGGGAGGCTGCACATTCAGCCATGCCATGCCCAGGCAAGAGACCATCCCAGCCACATTTGCTCTTTGCTGAGGGGCTGGCACAGCCCTCCCCAGAGATGGAATCCAGCCCCCACTACAGAAGGCAGCTACATCCCCGCTCTGTGTCTGAGCATGCAGAGACATCCCCACAGAGCTCTGCCCTTGCCCCACAGTCCCAGCAGTGTTGGGACATGGCTGTGGCAACTGCAGGTAAGTGCAGACTCTGGGCTGCTGCTTGCTTTGGTCAGTGTGTACCCAGCCCCATCCCGTACACTCTTCACCTCCCCAGGAGCATCAGCAATTTGCTGCACTAATTTTATATAGGTACTAGGGCTGAAGTGTCAGTGTATATTTGGTTGCTTACAGCTCCCAGGGAGATGAGCTGTCCTTGGCAAGGGGCTCTTGGTACCAGTGTCCGGGCCAGAGCCCCACAGCATCCATGTGGGAGGCCAGAGCCACTCCTCGGGTCACAAGCAGGATCCTGTGTCCACTGGCCCAGCCCGCTGCCCCTGCCTACGACATGCTGCAGTTGGATGGCTTTGAACCATGCCCCTGGAACAGAGAAGCACACAGTGAGCAAGGGCAAGCAGGCTTCTTCCCCTCTCCTACAAGAGAGCACATCCAGTGCTCAGGTTCCCAGAGATGAGTGCTCAGCAGTGATGCTGCTGCTGCCCCAGGCTGGGCTGCCCTCCTGGTGAGGAAACCCAGGCTAGACAGAGCCCAGAGTAAGCAGAACCCAGGGAGCCCCCTCCCTCAAACAGCTAGGCCAGGATCAGCCCACAGCCTCACTCACCTGCCGCTGTGACTGCTGGTACTCGGCTTCGCTCGCCGACAGTGCCCGGGCCAGTGCCAGATCCTCCTCCTCCTGTGTGCTGCTGGGACAGTGAGGGGTGCCTTGTGTGCCTCAGCCTCCCTCAGGCTCAGGGGCTGAGTGCTCAGAGCCCTTCTGGGTTTCAGCTTCTCACTCCAACCCCCAGCATGTCTTAAGGCAGGGAGCAACTGAGGATAACTTTGAACAGGCATGGGGCTGGGGAGGGAGCAGAGGATCCAGCTGGGGCTGGCAGCCAGAAATTTGGGCCAAGGAGAGCCCTGTTAAGTCCAATCAGTACGATGGTGCTTTTAGCAGCATTGGGCACTGTGCCTGGGGACATGAGCTCCTGGGTATCCTCCATGAACACCCCTACTCTACCTACCATGCTCCAGCCAAACCCATTAGCTGACAAGTGGTCAGACAATAGTTTGCCCTACTCTGTGTGTCAGTCACTGTCCCCTACCAGCACCCCTAGGACTGGGGCTTGCTTGCTGAACAGTTCCCTGTTGGCTCTGGACTCTTCCTTTTTTCCTCTGTCAGCCAGAGAGGCATCATATGCAAACACGTGCTGAGAGGAATGTTATCCCAGAGCCACATGATGCTTCCCCAGGCACCTTTCACACACAGAGGAGTGCACAACACACCACACCACATGCTTTGGGGCCTGTACCTGGGCTGCTGTGCTGAGCTGTGTGCTGACTCTGCCAGAGACATCTCCAGAGCTCGCTGCAGGGCCTCTTCCTCACTCTGAAACAAAACACCTTGTCACCAGCTTGGCCAGGCTGGGGGGCAGGAAGCAGCCCTGAAGCACACGTAGTAGGTACAGTCTTCCCTAGCCAAGGGTGGGCAAATCTTCTCTCTCCAGGAGACCAGACAAAAAGGTGATAAACTGGGGCTCAGGACAGACCAGCAGTGCTCTCCCACTGCCCAAGGAGACACATCCTGCTTGCTAATGCAGGAGTATGCCAAGAGTACCAGTGGAAAGCAACTTCCAGTCTCCGCCAGCCTTTGCTTGTACTGCAGAAAGACAACACCCAAGGAAAATGGCTGGTGCACTTTGTCCCTTTGGGGAAAGCTAAGCACCAAGTGCTTAGCTCTTAGTGCTTAGCTGAGAGCTGTCATTCGCAGGCACCAGAGCAAGCTCCGATCTCCCACAGAACATTCAGGATCACTGTCTGCCAGGGAAGACACAGCTGGGAGCACAGTCACCTACAAAGTGTGGGCTAGAAAGCATTTGTTACAGTCACTTCTTAGAGGGCACAGAAACCACCCCAAGTGCCCAGGCCAAGCCACTCACCAGTCCATTCTGCAGCATGACAGCTGGAGGGGAGGTGCTGCGAGTCTGCGAGGCAGCTGCTCTGCCTCCTCTGCAAGCAGAAGAAAAGCTGCATTATTGTCAAGGCAGGGAGCCCTAGTATGACTATCAGTCCTGCTGAGGCACAAGAAGAAGGGGGTTGTGACTCTGGCATTCCACAGAGAGCCTAGATGAGCCTGGTCATGCCCACCTCAGAATTACAAGTCAGGCCATCACCTTACCTGGCACAGGCCAGAGAAGAGGAGCTGTCTGCTGCTCCGCTGCTTGATGCAGTGACTATTTTGGAGGAGGATGCCTGGGCTCTGGTAACTGCAGCATGCCTAGGACAGACAGGACACCTGTGAGAAACTGTTTACCATCATGAGCAATTCCTAGGCATTGAACACCTTGGGATATCAAGCTGGATAAGAGAGACACGTCCCTGGCTCCTCTTCCTCCCATGTTGCGGCTGTTATTCTCAAGAGTTTCAAGTGCTCTTTCTCCCCCTAAAACCCTGTACCAGGACAGGCAGAAACCACTGGCTACAGAATAAGGGGATGGGGAAAGAAGCAAGAGCAAAGCAGTCAGCAGGCAGTACTGACAGTTTTGCTGCAGGACAGACTGTGTATACTGGTGTGCTTGGTGCTGCAGGAGAACACCCTGGCACAAGGGCACGGAGTGTCAGAATGCAGCAGTCCCAGACAATGGGCTTCTTCCCTGTCACCAATCTGGCAAACACAGCCCCACCCCTCCCAGCCTGTCTGTTCTCAGGCCCTCACCCTGCTTTGGAAAGGGGATGCCCTGCCCCACTGCAGTCGTGGTCCAGGGGGTGCCGATGCTTGAGGCAGTAGTTCTTGTGGCACTGGTCACAGATCACCTTCATCATCTCCTTCTGCTTGCAGCCAGGCTTCAAACACTTGTTGGTGAAGATCTGAAAGATGACACGGCAGTGCTGAAAAGGACCATATGCTGTAGGGCTGTCCCTTCTCTCCATGTCAGGCCCTGAGCAATGACCAGCCTTCCCCACCAGCGTTATCTTCTGCAAGGCTCTGAAATTTGTCTCTGAATACTTTCTTTAGATGTCTCTGAATAATTTCTTTAGATAGTTCATTAGTAATTCACTGGTGCCTCAGTCTCCATAGACAGCAATCTCCATAACCACAGAATGCACAGCAGGAGAAAGAGTGCCTTGCCCAGGGATTCCTGCCTTCCATACCAGTGCAGTGATAGCCCAGGGCATTCCAGCTGCTGCCGGGCTGGATTCCTGCAGGGCCAGCTCCCTGCAGCAATTTCATCCCCTGGCAAGATGGGGTAGCTAATTGCCAACTGCATTTTCCTAATAGCAGCATACAGTTTACCATCTTTATGTCCCAGGTGGCTGCCCAGCCCCACTCCATCACCACCTTTCTCCCCTGACAGCTTCCACAAAGCCCTGAGGATGCCTCCAGCTCACCAACCCTCCCAGGATCAGCCTGTGCCAGGGCTGAATCTGTATTGTTTTCATCCCACTGCCAGGCTGTGTCAGAGACCTGGCAGAGCTCACCCGGCAGAGCCCCACAGCACCTACCTTACGCTTGCGTTGTGCAGGGTCAGACTTGCAGTCACGGTCAATGTGCTCCCCCACCACAACATCAGGCATCTCCCCCCGCCTCACAGGGACTGGGGTGTTGCAGAGGGGACACACTGGGACCTGCACATCCTGCAGAGACAACAACAGGGAGCTGGGAGCACGTAGCTGGGGAACCGTGAGTGCCGCACAGTCATCTCTCTCCCTTTCAGGACCTGCCTACCATGGCTTCCACAGCTTCAGCTGCAGTTTGAGATCCTGCTCATGACCCTCCAACCAGCTTGTACAGCAGGTGCAGAGGCACAGACATACACTCTGGGAAGGGAAGATGGTGTGGCTGGGAGATGCCCAAACCACTTCACCCAGTGGGAGAGGGAGGGTTGGATGTTTGTGGCACTGAGACGCAGATCCTGGCTTTCAGGTACGTCTTCAGATTTGGTACACATCCCAAGGGTAACTGCTCAAGTGACCAAAGTAACCACAGATTATTATGATGGGTGGCTAGAAAAGCTCAGCAGCTCCATGCAGGAGGGTGGATGAGATTTGCTCCCTGCACTTACCTTCTTGTAGGCAGAGGTGCAATCGTGCTGGGCATAAGCGATGTGGTCGGTGCAGAAGATCTGCTCGCAGGCATCGCACTTCAGGGGAAGGAAGTCTAGGAGCAGGATATGGCATGGGCAGAGAGCATGGAGACCGGCATTGCCCACCCGTAGCCTGGGGGCCTCCCCGACTTCCCAAAGGCAAAACTGTGACCCCGCGGCGAAGCCAGAGCCGCACCTCTCATTCCCCAGCATGAAAACAAAAGGGCTGCAGGTCCAGAGCCACGTCTTCAGAAATACTACGGCTCCTCCTCAAAACGTGCGGTCCCCGAGATCAGGAGTAGCATCCTGAATCACACGGATTTCCCCGCGGGCTGCCGGCCTCAAACGGGTGGGAAGTGATGGTGACAGTCGCTACGGGCTTCGCCCATCGGGATTAGGGGGTATGGAGGGGTCCCAGGGGCCCCGCCGCGTGCGGCCTCCCCAGCCTGCAGCACCCAGGCCCGGCAGGGGGGTGCCTGTCCGGGCCCTGCCCCGCTATCCCGGGCAAGAGCCGCTGCCCAGCCAGGTAGAGCCGCGTACCCGGACAGAGCCACGGGCGGAAACCCGGTGGCACGGACAGCCAGTCCCGCCCTAGCGGGGTGCCCGCGGGAAGCAGGAGGATCAGGGACCCCTCCGCCATGGGCAGCACGGGCGACACGTCCCGCCCTTCAAGCCCCGCTGCCGAGCGGGCGCCCGGCGCCGCCCCGCCGCCTCCCCGCAGGCCGGGCTGCCCGCTCCGTGCCGCCCAGGCCCAAGGCCGCGGCCGTGTCGCCGGCGTGCGAGCCGTGCCCACCCCCCGGGCTCCCCGGCGCTCACCCAGGCGCTGGCAGGCGGGCCAGGAGCAGTGCGCGCCCAGGTCCGGGAACTCCATGGCGGCACTGCCGCCACCGGCACCGGCGGCCCCGCCGCGCCCGCTTCCGGCGGGGCGTCACGGGGCGGGACCGGGCACCGCCCCGCCCCGGCGGGCACAGCCCCGCCCCGCGGCCCCTCGCCCCTCCGCATGCCCTGCCTCCGGGAGCACCGCGGGAACACCCGCTCCAGAGACCTGCCCGGCGCCCGGGGAAGGCTCAGGGCAAGGCGGAGTCCACGAGGGCCATGGCCAGAACCATCCTTCCTGCCAGGCCAGCAAGAAGTGTCTGCCGCCATGGGACAGCTTGAAATTATCCCTCCATCCTTCCTCCCCTGCCCCAAGGGAAACCAGCCACGGATCCTGCCGTGTAACAAAGCTCCTGGCTCTATTCCAGTCACCTCGGAGTCTCCAGGTGCCATGCTACGATGCCCAGCAGAGCACGGATGGGGTGCTAGAAAGGTCAGTGGTGCGGAAGGCAAGAGATGCCACGGCAGCAAAAAACTGGAGTACTGAACAGGGCCAGGAGTGAATTTCATTGATTGCAAAAAAATCAACTCCACAGCCACCCAGTAACAGAACTCAAATGAGACAGGGAAAAAAAGCAGGTATCGCCCAACACCCTGTTCCAGCAGTGACACAAAAGACAGTAACAGTCTGCAGAAGAGGTCTCTTTGCACAACACCCGTCTGCCCTTGCCCCTTTACTGCTATCCTCTGCTCCAAAGACCCCCTTTCCCTTTCCTTGCCCCTGAGAGCCACATTTGACTGGGCACCCCATCCCTCCCCCCAGACAAAACCAATGAAAGTTAAAATTATTTACACTTTTAGCCATTTAAAAACCCAATAAAATAAGATTGCATATGTCCTACTGGGGATGTGGGTATTAGCAGCAGCTACAGCTAGCTCGGTACTCAGCGTGCAAAACAAAAGACAAACAGAAGACAGACCGAAATACTGCACCATTACTAGGAAGCGTTTGCTGGGGTTGGTGTTTCAATTGTGGCATAAGGCTTCTAGGAGCCGGCTCCTCCCCAGCTGCAGGGCCTCCTGCTCAGCCAGTGAAGGCCAGGCTCTAGAAGGATGGAAAGGATTCATTATTCCAGACACAGCACATTAACACTGATGCATTTCCATCCCAGTCAACACAAACATCTAAAAACCCACTGCACGTTCACTGTGTGAGTTTTTCCTTCTTTCCAGTGATGATGGAGGAAAAGGGGGAGCACAGGTAAGACCTAAGACATAGATGTTGCTGTCATCACTGCCTCCTCCTCATCTCCTTGCTTTGGCAGCTCAGCAAGCATGGGAGAGGAGGGAGACGGAGCAGCCTCTTGTGCCTCCTGCTCCTCTCCGAACCCCAGCTCTACATCCATTTGCTCCAGCTCCCCCTGATCCAGTAGCTCAAAGTCATCTGCTTCCTCCTCATCCTCCGGTGAAGCTTCTGTCTCTGTCTCCACCACTTCGCTCTCTGACAGGTGTGCTTGGAAGCTCAGTTTCTCTTCAGGCTCTGTGGGGAGGAACTCGGAGAGGGGGGGTCCCTCGCTGGCCTCTGAGGACTGCAGGAGGGCAGAGAGGGTATTCTGCACTGCTGTGGTGATGGCAGTGGTGACGATCTCCTCGCTAAGCGTGTTAATGCAGATGCCCAGGCCTGGGGCAGGGACAGTCTTTGGCTCTGCATTGCCTCCTGCCGCTTGCCCGCTCCCATTGAAGTGCGTATTTACAAAATGGAGAGGAGACGCGAGGCGAAGGATGGAGAGGTCAGAGTCCGTGGCCTCTTTGTCTGCTGAGTCCAGCTCACAGGCAGCGTGGGCAAGCTCAGGACCCAGAGGCACACCAAACGCGTCTTCATCACTCTGTGGTCCCAGGTCTCTGGAATGATATTCTTCCACGGATGGAAACTCTGCCAGGTCCTTGGAAAATGACTCCTCTGGCTCACTGTGCAGGCTCTGCTGATCCAGGTCTGAAAGGCACCAGCATTAAGGTACATGTTCCCTCACCTTGACTTCCCACCCACCTTCCCCAGCTGACACACCACAGCTGACTTTAAGGTACCTTCCCCGTCCTTGGAGGACAGCAGGAAGAGGTCTGCAGTTATTCCCTTCTGCCAGTGGCATGATTCATATGTAATGTTTCTTTTGTGATCCTGTTCTATGTGCTCTGTGCTTAGAGAGGACTTCCTGCTCCAGCTCACGCTCTCTGCATTTAGAGCCTCCCATTAAAATTCCCAAAGGTCAGGGAAATTGTGCTTACATCACCTGCCTGCTCCTTCCCAGACACCCAAGTGGCCACTGAGTGGTTACCTCCATGCTCTTCACCATTAACCAGTCCTTCTCTGAGCTAGTAAGTCTGACCTGTTTCACCCAGCATCATATATCTGTGTGTGACTATTCTATTCAGTTATTTCTGTGATACTTTGTGGGTGGCCTTGCTCCCTTGTTGGAGTCACAAGACTACATTGCATTGTGGGGCAATAATTAGAGGCTGATATCCCCTTATGATGAGCCATGAAATCAGGGCATGCTGCACTGCTTTTCCTTCCTCCTTTCAATGCTCTTCCCATGCAAATAGCTGGGTTCTCTCCCTGTCCTCCCATTTGTATGGCCCATTGTTCTGGGCCAAAATACTGAGGATAAGGGGGCAGCAAGGTATCCCATTATGTACCTTCAGAAACGTCCGTCAGCTGTGGGGTGGTAGCCCTTGAAACAGAAAAGCCCCCACTCTCCAGGATAGAAGCCTCCTCATCAGAGAGCTCAGAATCTGTGATTGATAGTGCCAGGGCAGTTTTCTTCACATCCACCTGCATGGGATGAAGGCAGAGAGACAAATTCCTGTGTGTCTAAGTACCCATGCTGCCTATGGGCATCTCCAGACCTTCCAGGCAGAAGTCATCGCTGGAGGGACAGTATGCTGGCAAAGTGCTCCCTGCACTGGAGGGAAGGGTATCTCAGCTCATGGGCTTTCCTGCAATAAATCACTGCCCAAAGGTTTGCCTGCTCTCAGTGAAGAACACAAAAGAGGCAGCACAAGATAGGACGAGACTGTAGGAGTCTCAGAAGGCTTTGATCCTTCTTCTTCTCCTGGGATCACCAAGGAGAACACCCCTTCCTTTTGCATTCAGAGTGCAACAAAGCCTTTTACAAGTAGCAGTGGTTCAAGTATCCACATTCCTTTGGAAACAAACTTCCCACCTCACAGCCCAGCTACATGCCCACAGCTGCTGCTTGGTTTGTTTCTGTAGTGCAAATATAGAAAGGTCACACATACATAATCTGTCTGAAAGCAGAGAACTGTGTAAGAGACACTAGAGCTGCTCAACTCCCTTTTCCGGTTTTGAGGAGCCTCTCCACATTACAGCAGGGAAGTTCATTTCTTCAGGAGACACTCACATTTTCTGAGCATGAAGCAAGACCATCAAAGTAATTCTGAGGTCAGCACGAGGCTGGGGCATGGCTGGCCCTGCCCTACTATGGCATCATCAGCTCTGTGGCACCAAATTCTCAGCACCCAGATTGGAGACGATGGCCTTCATCAAACACATGACCTTTTCCCCTTAGAATTCTGCAAAGAAGTGATTTATTGCTCTGCTGTGTGTTGTCATTGTTGTTGTACTCAGACCACCCCTTGGCTCTTAAGCTGCTATAGACCAGAGAGGAGGGACTGGCTCCTGCTAAGCTCTTTGAGCTCTTACCACTGGGGAGAAGCCTGACAGCTCTGCTTCGCTCTCACTCTCTGTCTCTGCTGTTGGCTCATCACCTGCTGCAGGCTCGCTCTTCCCTTGTCGTTCTGTGAGAAAGAGAAGAAAGGCTTTATATGACACTGAAGGAATTTTCTGCCTTTATACACCATTATCCCCTACTTCCCCTGTGAAAGTGCACAGGGTTCCTGGAGACAAGCATAATCTGTTGCTCTCGTGTGCTGCTCTCAAGATCATCTGGGAGCACACAGTTGCTCTCCACATAACCTTTAAGTTTCCACCCCTGCTCCCCTGCAGCCTGTCGCCACACAGTGTTGGCAGACATGGTCCCCTATTGTCCTTCTGCTACGGCTCCACCCTAGGAATACAGCACCAAAAAAAGCTAGAGAAGGTGGTTCCTTACTCTTCTTCTCATGCTTGTGGTGCAGCGTCTCTGCCTTCATACTGTAGTCCAGTTTCATCAGGACAGGCTCCAAACGCGTGTACATCCTCTGGATCAGCTCATGGTAGACCACCAGAGGCCACAGCAGAATGCTGAGCACTGTGGACATGGAATGCAGCAGTGTGAGAGACAGATCAATCACAACCCAACTCTTCCTGTGGTGCCACTGAGAAAGTCTTCAAGGGAAACACATTTCAATGGCATGTTTTTTCCCATCTGACTGCCTAAAATTCCTCATCCATGGCTCTTCTTACTCATTGCAAAGCTGCTTGATTAACTAGGTTTTACTGCCAGATCTTAGATAGAATATAGATTTATGTTAAGATGAAGCATAAGCTCTTCAGCCACTGCACCCCAGACCCAACATGCAAAAGAAGCCCTAAAATGATAATTAAAACTAAGTATTACCAAAATTTCTATATGGATAGCTGCATCGAGCTCATGTGTAGATGCACTCGCAGCAGAGCACCAGAACAGAGCTATTAGGGACTCATGATGCAGTGGAAAAGGTCTATTTACCCAACATGCAGCTTTGTTAACAACACTCTCAATATGGATTTGCCACCTCAGGAACTGAGACTGTAACTTCCTGCTTCCCTGGAGCCTCGGCCAGCACAGCCTCAGCAGTGGGGAACAGAGGGCGCCAATGTTTTAGTCACGGCTCCCTCTCCTGCCTTTGCAGTCGTACTGCATGCACGTGCTTACAGAGACTTCCTGGAACACATCCCCTGTAAATTGATTCATCATCTAGCACAGATCCCCTCGAGAAAACTACAAATCTGCTTTTACCAGCCTATCAACAGCACAGTTAGGT